AGGGGAGAGAGAGAGAGGGAGATACAGAATCAGAAGCAGGCTCTAGGCTCTGATCTGTCAGCACAGATCCAACACGGGGCTCAAACTCATCAACCGCAAGATCATGACCTGAGCCGAAGTTGGACGCTCAACCAACTGAGCCACCCAGGCACCCCCAAGAAACCACTGTTTTTAACCCATGGCAAATATTGGGGAAATGTTACATGGAGGAATTAGTCAATTTTGTAATTTAAGTAGTAGTTAGTAGAGGCCATTGACCAAAAACAGTAAAGACAGAAATCCATCATGATCTAAGCGACATTCCAACACATATAGTTTTTACAGCCAACTTCCTAGGAAATGGTCCCTGGTTGGGTTTTAATTCAACTGGGTACTGGCTTTGGCCAGGTCCCGGTGCAGGTCCCCCTGCCAGAAGTGGCTAGACCAGGGATGTGGAGGGGGTCATGTTAGACCAATGAGGAGGAAACCTTATACTGGAGTCTTAAGATTGGCAACCATCTTGGTGACTTGGGTGGCTGTCCTGTGCCCAAGACATACAACTTTTTATAAAGACAGGAATAAAGAGAGGGCGTCAAGTTTCTGGGTCTTATTACTATTTTGGCCAAGGTACTAACTTCTAGCCAAAAGTCAGGCTTTCTCCTCCATGTAGAGTAGCCATGGGCTAGAGGATTGCAGCCTGAACAATTGACCAGAAAATGTTCCAATAAGACCATGCTCCTTGAAAGGCCCTCGAAATGAGAGTAAAAGAAGAAAAGAGAAAGTACTCACCAAGTTTGCACCGAAGCTCAGAGTCCAGTTGAAAAGACTCATAGCCCCACACATTGGACGCCATATGATGAGGTTTTGGGGTGATGGTGGGGTTCGTGGGGTCCAGAGCTGATGGCAAGAAAGAATTCTTGAAGACGTCTTTGGTGCAAAAATGTGATTTTATAAATCATGGGGACAGGACCCATGGGCAGGAAGAGCTGCACCGGGGTTGTGTAAATGACTGGTTATATACTTTGCAGTTTTTTTTTTTGGGGGGGGGTAAAATCAAAAGGGAAGTTTCCAAAGAGACTTTCATATGCTAAAGACTCACAGATTACTGGAGGCCTAGTTATTGTCAAGCTAAGATTGTTTTTCTCTCTAGCAAAGCATTAAGACAATAAGGAGTTCCTGGAGAAACATTTTATTCTGCAAGCCTCAAGTATTTGTCAATAGGCTGTAGGTTATAAGGAAATTTGCTTTTATCCACCATTTCCTTTTTGCCTTTGTTCCCCACAATACTACAATATTTACTAAGATATTTGTAAACTGATGGAGACTCGATCAATTTAACCATTTGTCTTCTTTCCTTTCCTTTGTCCCTGGGTAGGCAGGAGTGCCTGAGAATGTCACACATATCCTACCTGGTGTGGGGGGCAAGGAGGGCTGCTAGGATAAGAAATCGAAACCTAAGAACACCCAATCGAAACACCCAATCACAAACAGCTAACTAGGCTTTCCCAAATAAGGCAATTCCTTAAGCTATAGCGAATCATGTAACTTCTTTGCTTTGCTTTCCACTTTTGTCTAAAAAAGCCTTTCCCCTGAGTTTGGTTTGATGCTGCCCAAATGTATTTGCTGTTTGCTCAAATATGGTCTTCAGAATTTTGATGTTCATCAATTTGGTGAGGGAGCCAAAGGCAAGTAGAGGGCGAACCACAAGCCAGCAACCTGCCAACCTCATTGGGATATATGTGACATTCCTCAGGCATTCCTGACTGTCATAAGCTAAGAGAAGGAGAGAACAAATGGCTAACTGACAGAGATGATAGTTATGCAGGATGCAAGTCTTCATCAGTTTACAAATGTCTTAGTCAATTACAAGAAAAAGACAATCTTATCAATAGTCCAGCCTCCAGAAACCCATATACTCAGTTTCCTGGAGCCCCAACATCACCCTCCCTTTCATAGTGATGTGGGGAACAAAAACAAGGAAGGAAGGAAATGGCAAATAAAATTAAATTTCTTTATAACCTGTACCCATTGACAAAGACTTGAGACAGGCAGAGTAAAACATTCCTACAGGAACTCCCTACTTTCTTAATGTTAATGCCTTCATGAGGAAAAAACAACCTTAGCTTGACAATAGCTAGGCCTCTCATAACTTATGCGTCTTCTTTAGAATATGAAAGTCCTTCTGGAAACCTCCCTTTTGCCTTTACCTCCCCCAGCTCCATAGTACATAACCAGTCACTCCTCACAACCCCAGTGCAGCTCTTTCTGCCCAAAGGCCCTGTCCCCATGCTTTCATAAAATCACCTTTTTGCAACAAAGAGGTCTCAAGAATTCTTTCTTGGCCATTCGTTCTGGACCCTCACCACCACTCCAAAACCACCTCAACTTTATCTTTTAAAAGAACTAAAAAAAAAAAAAATAAAATAAAACTCACATGACTCATCCTTGCTCAGTAGTGCTCTTATTAAAAAGAGCTTCCTTGCATAGGGTGCCCAGGTGGCTCAGTCCAGTGGGCATCTAGCTGTTGATTCCGGCTCAGGTCATGATCTCACAGTTCGTGGGTTTGAGACCCAAGTCTGTCAGTGCAGAGCCTGCTTGGGATTCTCTCTCCCTCTCTCTCTCTGCCCCTCCTCAACTCTTTCTCTCTCTCAAAATAAATAAACTTAAAAAAAGGGCTTCCTCACTACACAATGTAATATTACATCCAATCCCCTCTTCTCACAAAATCACCTCTCCTTTTTTTCATTGCACCTGCCACATTCTAATGTACAATATAACAGTATTTCTGCTTTCATGTTTCCTGTGTTTTCCTTGAACATAATAAAAGCCACATGAATATGGGACTGCTTGTCTTCTCTCTCCATTTCTCTCGTGAATCTACCAAAAGTTCCTGAAAAGGCAGTATGTGCACAATGCAAATTTGTTAAGACAGTGAATAAACATGACAATTTTTAAAGTTGATTTATTTTGAGAGACACAGAGCAAGCAGGGCAGAGATAGAGGGAGAAAGAGAATCCCAAGCAGCCTTTGCACTGTCAGTGCAGAGTCCAACGTGGGGCTCAATCTCATGAACCCTCAGATCATGACCTGAGCTGAAATCAGAAGTCTGAAGCTTAACTGACTGACCCACCCAGGTGACCCTAAACATGACATTTCAAGTTCTTTCCCATTTAAACTATTCCAGGTACCCTAAATGTCCTCCTTAAGTCTCTCTTCAAAGTAGTGTGAAAATTAGTAAATGAAATCTCCTTTAAAAATGGAGTCAGGAGGCTGAAATGAGGGAGCTCTTAGTCTGGTAGGACATAATCTGCAGGAGGAAGGAATATCATTTATTTTATTTTATTTTTTAAATTTACATCCAAATTAGTTAACATATAGTTCAACAATGATCTCAGGAGTAGATTCCTTAGTGCCCCTTACCCAT